GGTTAAGTGAAATGACCAACTTTAGAAAAGTTGATAATTCTAAGTCAATCTGATGAAAAGACAATGCAGAACATGGGACGAGCTTTAATTGGAGTGGTTTTCCAGCTCTGTCTGCTATTGGTAATTATGAATGCTTTTGTCATTTATGATATTGAACTGAATTACTCTCTGGATTAGTATTTTATATAAATTGGAATTGTAAAGAAGATTGCCGTCCATTCTGGGGTAAAACTCTTGTCTAAATTCAACTGAGGGTCTAAATTTAAATAGACAACTAGGTGGGATCATAAGGTTAAACGTAGGGAAAAAAAAATATATATATATATAGACTTGACGGCAGAGAGACAAAGTGGCACATTGGCTAAGTCACTATCCAAATTATCCAGAGTAAGCTCCCTCATTTTTATTGAAAGGCCGGAGGGCGAACAAAGAAGGAGTGAATATAACTTCTAAAAAGAAAAGGTTTTATTTCTCAATCCCTTAAATGTATGTATGACATTAGATGTCTAAGAAAACTACAATTTAATAAAGGTAAAAAGAGAAAGCAGCTATATGGCTGTGGGCTGGGATCTGAGTAACATAATATTTTGGTTTCTGTAAAACTGTAAAGATAAGTGGAACTGAGACAAATACTGTGAGAAGTAGTTATAATGAAAAATAAAGTTGAAGTTAATGATAAGAAAACAAGAGTATTGAAGAATTAATAAAATACCATGATTCCCCTAACGAGGGAACTTTAAGTGTCACTAGGCTGACAGTGGTGAGAGACTCGGATGCAGAAGGAACTGGCATGTAGGGCAAGATGGAAGAAATATAGTAGAAGAAAATGTATGTTATGAAAATACAATTTCTGATAGGATTTATGGAAGTCAAATTAAGTTTAAATGGTATGAAAAAGGTTAGGGTTAGACATTGTATGATTGACAGGGATTCAAGTGATATAAAGATAAGGAATAAACAAAAGCTTTATTAAGCAGAATGGGGAACGATCCTATATTTTAGTGGTAAAATAATGACTGAAATGATGATGTGAATTTGTTTTATTTTATTTCTATTTTTGAAACAAACAAAAAAGGGTATAAGATGTTATACAATTAAAATGGTACATGCTATGTGACTGTAAACTGAAGGATGATTTCAGTAAAGACTTAAAGTGCTTACATCGATTATTATGGGTCTTAATTATTAATATTTTATTGTTTGTTGTTTATTTTTAGTTAGACAACCATTGTGTTTTAAACCTAAAGGGTCTATAAAAGGGGTAGTGAAAATAATGGATTAACCATCCAACTTTGTTTATAATAAATGGATTTGGAAATCATAATTTTATAAATAAATAAAAAACTAGTGCATATATTCTGGTATTCATGATTATAGACAATGTCTTTATTTAGGATCTGAGTAGTGACTGTGGATCTAGCCCATGCTAGTAGGAATACAGCAATAGGGCTTGCTTATTTAGCCTGGCTTCCAAAGAAAAAATATGTACTTGTTTCGTAATCAGTTATGTGTTTTATAAAAATTTTAACCTGACTGATAAACTGAGGAAGAATGACATTGATGTCCTGTTGTGAGTGGAAGGTGGGAGAGCCTCTTAATGGGGACTGGAATTTTTAGTATCCAGCATGTCCATGACGAGGTGAAGAGACAAGTGTGACCCATCAGGGGAGCATGCGTCACCACTCCTCCCTTCCGTAGTGACCTCACTGGTTAGACCAGACGTGGCGGTATTGGACCCCACATTGGTCTAAAACGGGGGACTGAAGGGTTGGTCAAAATCCCTTGCCTCTTCAAATACATATATAATCATATATCATTTTGAATGGTTATATACTTCCTTTATAAAAATCAATAATCAAATATATTCATTATCACATAATAATTTTTATATTCTTGTGCCTGTGAAATTATATTTTCTTAAATGCATGGATGCAAGTAACCAGTTTCTTTTAGGTGCATCCCAATCTTACTTTGAGATTGCACGTAGTACACGCAGGACACTAAGGCCACGTAACCCACAAGGCCGTTTGTCTCTTTCTCTGGGATCAGTAGAAAGGTTAGAGGGTCCTAAAGGCAGCGTGGACACATATGATCCTTCGTTGGACATATGGTCAAGCTATATTGAGCGTTACTATCAAACTTTAATTGTTGTATTAAAATGTATTCTTTCCAGTATATTTCCTTCCTTGGGAGTAAATACCAGTGATCTGTTTTTCTCCCAAACGAGTGAATGTTTTAGCAGTATGTTTTGGTATACTTAACTGATAATAAGGAGCTCAGACTCTCTTCAGCCTTGATGGGAGCTGTTATTTGCTAGTGTCTGTTATTTGTGTGTGTGTGCGTATGACATTCTATGTAGGTTCTGGACAGTCGGACCAGACACCCCGGCGCCCTTCTCTAACCTGCGAGGCCACCACAGACCTCAATCTAATGAGTGGACGACAACTATCTTGACTAATGGCGATAGGCACCCCTATCTCCTCACATGTGTTCAATTGTTTAGGCTTTCATGTTTCTTAGCCAATGAGAATCATTCAACCTGTAAGCAATGACGTAGCTTAGACCTTGGAAATGGTATAACTGCTGTGATCTTTGTAACTGTAAGCGAGGCGGCCTACGAACTCCTGTGGGAGTCTTGAAGCTGACTTCTGCTGATGAAAATGCAAACTATCTTCAGTAAAACTTTTCTTTAATTTTTTATAAGTCTGACTCCGGGTCTTCATTCTTCATATCTGGTTCTGGGTCTTTGACTGTATACCCCTTACAAGCCGAATACAAAAGAACGGAAGAAACCAACATTATTGACTAAGACAATTTCAAAAGTTTTATTACAAGCTTTAATCACTCTGTGTATATTTACAACACATTTTTAGTTTTGGCAAAGAAAGCTGTCACGTTTCTTAAGCAAATAAACCAATACATGAAATTTAAAGAAAAAAAAAAGTTCAAGTTATACCTCTTTCAACCAGCGACTGAAAACTGGTCTTCTTATTAGCATTAGACTATATAAACAATTGCATAGGACAATGCAAGGCACAGTGTTGTAAGTGCACTTAAACTGAGTGAAGAAACAATCTCTATGCTACATTAAAGGCAAGTGAATGAAGGCTCATTCTTCCTCCTCTCTGTGGAGCAGGTTTGATTCATCAGCCCGAGGAAGGTCGCTAGCACCTTGCGGGCTCTGGAAAGAAGTCCCTGAGGTCAAACTAAGGAACGACTGATGTGAAGAGCAATCACAAGAAATCAGTACCAGTTCTGGTGTCCAAAAAGCATGGTCGTCTGAGAACTACAAGTTTTTGGTAAGTGGAGTGATGATATGGAGACTTGAACTGCAAGGTTTCAGTTCATTGCTTTGGCAGATGGTTAATATACCTAAAGATTGTTATGTCCCATGTCCAAAACAAAAAGGTAAGGGCTACACATAATATTGTCCAAACGATTTGACACTTGTTCCAAAATACAGTAGGGAACGTCCTCATTTTGAAAAGACCAAATAAGGCGGGACTGCACTTTACAGCATGACCACACACTACACACATGAGGGAAAAAACAAGTTTGAAGAACAAAGCCATTTGTGTTTGAGCTGATCTTTAAAGGGGAAAATAAGGGGGTGGCTTTAGCCAGAGGAAAAACACAACAGTTAGACAGTGTACAAGCCTGGTTCTTAGTCAACACACCAGCATTTGAGCTGAAATAGGGAGTGATAGGGTGTGTTTTTTTCACAGTTGTAAGATCATAATGTGTACTATGAGTGCCACTTAATAATAATAAATATTATAAGTAAACTTTTGACATTTAATTCATGATTAATGATTAAAACTAGCCTGGGAAAACCCAGACAACTTCCGAATTTAGATTTGCTCTGAAAGTTAGTCTGGCAAAGAGCTCATTCAAGCCCATTTCCAATCCGTCGAAATCGAGGCACCAATCAGAAACGTTGGGGCGGGCTTTACACGATGACGACAGCGCTGGGATTTTGAAGCAGATTTTGTAGCCTACATTACAAAGATGGATGCCGCCGTCGAACATCACTCATTCCAATCAGCTATCGCGTCTGTTTTAAGCAATTTGAACGTTTCCTTTTTGTTAAAAACCGAGCAAAGAACAACACACGGAGATATGTCTCCGCCGCTTTGCATACGCCATCTCCTTCATCGCTCTGATTGGGTTTAGGTCTATCCGGGACGTCTGTTGGTGACGCCCCTCTGGAAATGATTTGTCTATGACGCTTTGCCAGACCATAACTCCGTTACAACTGAGAATGGTCTGATTTTAACCAGGCTAGATTAAAACTAAAATAATACATCAATTACTTTACCTTAAAATGCATTTAGAAAAAAACAACAACTGGCAATAAGAAAAGCAATTTGAACATGCTCTATAAAAAAATAATTTAAATGTTGCATTTAAAATGATTTATCAATTTATCATTACATTTTACTAAATTGTTAATTTAATTTGAAAAGTGATTTATCTATATTTAAATTTTGGAATTAGTACATTAGTGATTAGTTACTACTTTTTTTTTTAAGTGGCACTTAAGGTCCTCCATCGGCTCATTTTTAAAAGAGAACAATGAGAGCATGTTTTAAGTGTAGGCAGAGTAATTTATGATAAAATACAGAATAATCTTCTTTTATTCATTCTTATTTTAGCTGTATTTTCTACTTCAAAAATCAAAATGTAAATGCGTATGAAAAATATAATAATTACAGCACCATTATATGGCATCCTTGTTCTGCACCTACATTGTATAAAGATCAAAGTCTGATGGCTCATAAAAATGTGACTAAGTACACTTCATGGCATCTCAGTTTTAAAAACGGAAAGTTAAAAAAGTAAATACGAATGATTCATGGGCTAATGTTGTCACAATATACATTTTCCCTTTATCCTGTCACTGACAGACTTCAGTCTCCATATAGTGTGCTTGATTGTCACTCTTTTTAAAGTATTATTGTTGGTGTCTTTGGATGTGTAGGTATGCAACGGTTTATACGTTGTTGTTTTTTTGCTAATCATTAGTTGCTAATTTTAAATGACCCAATGATTTGTGGTAAAGATGCACTTCTTACACTTGCGCTCTCTCTTCTTCCTTCTGCTCTACCTCTATTGATGAGTTGGCCATCCTCCAGAGAATTTCCCTTATTAACTAGCTCGAACTGCTGAAGCATTGACTCCAGAAAGAGCACAATATTGATTAGAGGTGACTGAGAAAAAAACAGCTTGCATGGAGGAATGGATTTTCATTTTTTCATAAGCCTCGGGAAACCATATAATATATGGCCCAGAGCTAAATCTAAAACGTTTGTTTGATTGGAGATTGGCGACGTCGCGCCATGTCGGTTCAAATAACCGCAGTCCAGTCTGAAACTTCTTTGGCTTGAGAAGTGAATCCTGTAAGGCAACTTGGGGAGAAATTAAGGCTCTTGTTTTGGAAGCTCTCCACGAGACACACAAACCCGAGGGCAAGACCGCTCATTGTCCTGAGGGACAACAGGCGGATGGAGAAAGGAAGGATGTACAGCAGACTGGAGGCGGTTTAGGGTCTGTTACATTGCCGGAAGCTTTGGAGGACTGTGGGTTTTCACAGTTGGAGATGTTTTATCCTCACACGATAGCACAACATCTCATGCAGGCTGCGCAGCCCTGTTTTTGTTTCTTAGGGCTGAAGATTGTCAGGATGGCCTCATCAAACACTGTCTTTAGTCCCTTCTGAGTCAATGCCGAACACTCCAGATAGCACTGGGCTCCAATCTGGGGATCACAATATATAATAATAAGACAAAACTCAGCTTTAGGTTAAAGGTTAGTTCACTCAAGTACTCTGTCATCATTTACTCACCCTCATGTTGTTCCAAACCTGTATGACTTTTTTCTCCCATAGAACACAAAAGGAAAAGTTTAGAAGAATGTCAGAGCTGCTCTTCTACATGCAATGAAAATGGACCGCAGTGGCCAGGGGCAATCAAGCTCCTAAAATGATTATCAAAGCAGGCCTTATAACTTGTCCTCTTATAATCCCTTTGCCTTGAAAATGTGGTCATTCACTCACTGAATAGGAAAAAAAACAGCTCAAACATTCTGCCATTCTTTTATGTGTTCTGCATGAGAAAGAAAGTCATACAGGCTTGGAACGACATAAGGGTGAGAGATTTTTTTTTACAATTTTTTAGGTGAACTAATTCTTTCAGTGCTTTGACACACAGTGGTGATAGTTCATAAATCATGCTCTCTGTTTTTTTAAACCTGGACAGACAACTGACAATTAAAGGATTAGTTCACCTCAAAATGAAAATTTCCTGATACTCACCCTAATGCCATCCAAGATGTTCATGACTTTCTTTTTCAGTGGAAAAGAAATTAATTTTTTTGAGGAAAACATTTCAGGATTTTTCTTCACACAATGGACTTCAACAGTAACCAAATTGTGGAAGTCCAAATCAATGCAGTTTCAAAGGGCTTTGAAGTGCTTCAAACGGCTCTGCACGATCCTAGCTGAGGAATAGGGTCTTATTTAGCGAAACGATCGGTAATTTTCTAAAAAATAAATAAAAATGTATATACTTTTTAACCACAATTGTTCGTCTTTTGCTGGTCTGCAATGCACCAGGCATTACGTAATCACGTTGGAAAGGTCATGCTGGACGTAGACGGAAGAACCGCCCAATTGTTTACAAGCGTGGAGAAGGAGGATCGTTCAAATTTAATTGTATGTTGAATGACATATTTATGTCTTTGTGTCAGTTTATTGTTTAAAATGGTCCTTTCGTGTGCATATCCTGGATGTTTAAAACAATGGGGCGGTACTTCCGCCTATTACCAGTGTGACCTTTCCAACGTGATTACGTTGCAGACCAGCACAAGACGAACAATTGTGGTTAAAAAGTATCTACATTTTTATTTTTTTTAGAAAATGACCGATCGTTTCGCTAAATAAGACCCTATTCCTCAGCTGGGATCGTGCAGAGCCGTTTGAAGCTCTGCAAAGCCCTTTGAAACTGCATTGATTTGGACTTCAACAATTTGGTTACCGTTAAAGTCAACTGTGTGGAGAAAAATCCTGAAATATTTTCCTCAAAAAAACGTAATTTCTTTTCCACTGAAGAAAGAAAGACATGAATATCTTGGATGGCATTGGGGTGAGTAAATTATCAGGAAATTTTCATTTTGAGGTGAACTAATCCTTTAAGCCAAACCACCAAAAGTATGAAAATCCCATCACCTCTCGGGCTAGTTTGAGGCCTTGTTCATAGGTCAGGGGCTTCTCCTTCATCTGGAGCAGACGTGCCAGTGTCTTTGGGTCATCTCGCAAGTCAATCTGAATGAATTGGAACAGAATTTCAATAAATAAATGCCAGAATAATAATAATAATAAAAAAAAATGCCAGAATGTTCTGGGATCTTTTCCTGGGTTCAAGCTCCTCAGCTGCAGTATAAATATTCAGATTTTTATTTGATCTGATGCCTAATCTCAATATTTGCTCTAATAACAATTATTATTATTAATATCATTATTTATAATATTGATCTGGTTGATCTGATAATATAAATACAACAACAACAATAATTATTTTCAATAATAATAAAATGTATTATTTGATCTGATAATTAAATATAAACAACAACAACATTATTATTATTAATATTATTAAAAATAATCACATCACTGTCTGAATTAGAAACTCTTGCACCTGTGTTCCAATGAGGATGTAGGGTACGTGAGGCATGCAGGATTTGAGCTCAGGTACCCATTCCTCCTGAACATTGTGATAGGAAGCTGGATTCACGACGGAGAAGCAGATGAGAAAGACGTCTGTGTTGGGGTAAGAGAGGGGCCGCAGCTGATTGTAATCCTCCTATAACACATGACGAAGATGATGAGTGAAGTAAGACCTGCTTTAGACCCAGTTCATCTCATCAACCGAAATATGATTCCAAACATAATTTGGAAAAACGAATTACAAGATAAAGAGGGCAGATAATTAATTCAAAGGTTAAAGCTTCTAAATCAGTGTTTCCAACTGTTTTTTGTAACAACCTCATCAGTCAGACTCGGTTTACATAACAGTATAAATATATTTATTGATAATAATAAATGTTTCTTAGGCAGAAAGCTAGCATATTAGAATGATTTCTGAAGGGTCATCATGTGACACTGAAGACTGAAATAATGGCTGCTGAAAATTCAGCTTTGTCATTACAGGAATAAATTACATTGTAAAATATATTAAAATACTTATTTTAAATTGTAATAATATTTCAAAATACTACAGTTTTTACTACTTTTTTTGTTAAAAAAATAAAAATAAAAATGCAGCATTGCAGAGCATAAGAGACTTATATATATAAAAAAGAACCTAACAGACCACAAACTTTTGAATGGTAGAGTAAATGAAAACCAGTCAAACAGTAATTTAATTTTTACAGGTTTAAGTACAACTTGGTATGCATGTACCCCTGTTTGGGGATCACCAGACAAAACCACTGCATGTAAAGAAGTGTCATATCTGAATATTTTATATTGGCCATTTAAAAGTGCATATTAAAAATGAGGACCCTGAATGTTCTGGTAAAATACAAGTAACAAGTTGAGCATCATTAACATCTATGACTTTATTCTGTCTCTTATTATGAAATGCAAATGAACATCAATAATTTACATTAGGCTTTTAAAGTGTCAGTGCCAAATGACAACTCTGCACCAGCGCCAGCATCTTGTAAAAGTCAGTTCTTCTTGAGTGCAATTGATCTCTTAGTCAGTGATCAATAGAAGAGAAGGGCCAAACATCACACAAATGCTCCTCTGTATCAGTAAACTGCTTAAAGGAGTAGACGTGCTGAATTATATAACTTTCATTTATACAGCAATGTGCTGCACACTACATTAGTCAGTCTGTTCAATTCTGAAACACAGCAAATATGTATCATTACAGCTCATACTGTCCTTGCCACAGCTATAGATCCCAAGAAACATTTACATAATCATGCTGAACAGAAATACTCACACTTTAGCTTTCTTTATTACTTCAGTCCTTAAAACAAAGTAAAAAAAAATGACCCTCAGTCAGTGCATTATTGGTAAATATGTATATTTGCAAATTAGTACCCCATAGCTCTTCATGCCAGTCTAGTGCCTTATCTAAGACATCTATTGTAAAATATGCACATATTGCTATTCTCCTTGTACATATTGCATGTTTTTGCATATAAAAGAATTGTTTATTCCCTCATTATTTATTCAAATATATACTCTGTAAGAAACTCCGTACATCTTATTAAATGAATGCAGCCCCCCAGTGCAATGTCAGCAACTGCCAAAGTCAATATAGTCAATGATAGAATTTTCCCTGATAGGAATAATAGAATTCCTTATAAAGGCAATCTTAACAAGCTGACAGTAATGATCAATCATGAAAACAGAATAATTATCTGACTATAATTCAGATAATAATATATATTTTTTAATTATTTGAATTATAAACTATAAGTCAGATAATTATTCATGATAGATGAAATATATATATATTTGTATTATATATATATTTTTATTATTATATATTTTTTATAATGATCGAAATTCAGTAACAGCGATACACAAATGTCAAAAATGCCTCATTTCTATTTTTGGATTAGTGTCATTTTAGTTTCTTAAAACTTTTACTTAAACAATTTTAACTTAAAATGCGGAACAAATTGGGGGAAATGATACAATAACCAAGCCAGTGTTGATATTGTTAACTAAAACTATATTTAAAAAAGAAAAACATTTTTGGTAATTGAAATAAATTAAATGAAATAAATTGAAAATATTAGATGGAAAAAAAGGCATTAATTAGAAATGTTGCCCTTTCAACTAACTGAAATAATTACTAAAATGACAAAAACTAAAAAAAATGACAAAAACATATAACAAAATTAATAAAACTTAAACTTAAAAAAAACCCTTAAAATTAAAAAAAAAATCAAAATACTAATAAATACTATATATATATATATATATATATATAAACTGAAATAACTGCCTGACACTACATAGAAAAGTTAGAAACTAAAGCTAATTTGGATGTTACACCGGCACTGGATAGAAAGAGTGGAGGAGAGTCATAGTATGAAGTTCTTTATGTTTATGTTCAGACGTTGTAATCTGTTGCATTATATATATTCCAGGATTAACTCTAACAACTGGGATCCAATAATATGGTTATTGCAGGGACGGCTGATTCTGTGATGCCTTTGGACACGCAAGATAAGTAAACCGCTGGGCTTTGATTTAGATGCATTTCTTCAGGCTGTATCTGACTAGTCATGTGAGTTTATTTTTGAAGAATCACTGCAATAATAAGCCAAAATCAAAGTCATTATGGTGGGCTGACAGTGACAAAAACAACCCAGCCTGTGGTTTGTTGTAATTTCAAGTCACTGCTTGCAGCTTTATTTACAACATTATTCAAAACAGGCTGTACATTCTACCATTAAACGCGACTATGTGAATTTAAATTCAAAGTGATATGATGCCACAACTTCACTTAGTGATGTTTATTAAGAGTATTACTGTAAATCCCTTTGCCATTTTTTAAATGTGAAAATTACACTGTATTTAGTAGGGAATGTTGAAGTAAACCTAGTGAAAAACACCAATTTGTTTAGTGTCAGGTCGTGTTTAGTGTCAGTTCAGTGTTGCTGTACTCAGTTGTTATTTGGTAACAATAGTAAATGTATGTATGAATTTAAATGCAGTGTAGTCAGTCTTATTGAGGTTTTGTTATTGCGTGCATAATGTTTGAAATCGAAATGAAAAGATCTGAAATGCATGCTATGGATCTTATTGTGAATGATTTAGCCTTGCATTATGCTTCTTTTTTTTTTTTTTTGCCCTTGTAATTTTAATCAAAATATCATACTTAATCTTCCGGTAAAATGACAGAATTCTCTCTGGTGACGTATGCCAGACTTCTTAAATATTATTGTCCGTTGGTGTGGATAATAATACAGTTATTGTTCTTGGTGTGAACGGGCCTTACTCAGGTTGTTAAGCAGATGGGCTATTGGTACTATATAGACCTCAGAAACATTAACTTACTTGTCCAGCAGTATCGTACAATCCCAGTAAGTGCTGCCTTCCAGATACTGTTACATTCACTGTAAAAAATCAAAACAAAACAACAGATTCATTATACATGTAAAATAGAAGACCAGTGCAGAATATGTCTGCAAAAAGTGTTTATGCTCCTGCTGTATCACATCCCTCTGATGTACTTCCAGAACTCTGGACCTGCTGTTTGGTTGTGGGTGGGAACAGAGGTTGATTTGGAACAGGACAGCTGTCAACAGCAAGGGGTGACCGGTTTTGGAAAACAGGGAGGAAAGAACGGTGTGTGCGTGCATACATATTTCATTCTGTGTTGTGGATGATGAGGGGGAGAGAACGGCTGTGTTGACACAAGTAAAAGGAAAAAAACCCAGACAAGTCAAACTTTTGTCATCAAACAACATGCAATAAAATACACTGCTGAGAACAGGAAAACAGCTGGACTCAACATTTCACTGAGGTATCAAACAAACTATCAGTTACTATCACTGTGTGTCCACACTCTTCTCAAACTCAATGTTTTGAGCATGTAGTGTTTTGCTAAGGCTGATAAACTTTAAAGGAATGTGTGAGAGAAGAAAGAAAGAGAGAGTGGATGAGAGAAAAGCTGAATAGAACCAGATTCTTCAGACCTCAAGCACCTTCTGATACCTTGAACTGAATTCAATCTTCTCAACTCCACGATGGCCTGAAATACTGATGCCTGGGATGACATAATTAAAGGTGCCCTAGAATTTGAAATCGAATTTATCTTGGCATAGTTAAATAACAAGAGTTCAGTACATGGACATGACATACAGTGAGTCTCAAACACCATTGTTTTCTCCTTCTTATTTAAATCTCGTTTTTGAAAAACACCCCTGAAAAATAGGCGAATCTCCACATAACACCGACTGTGACGCAACAGTTGGGATCATTAATATCAGAGACTATTTATATAGAGACATGCCACTTCATCAATCCTTAATACAACTATATAGGGAAAACCCGTAACGCCAAAGATGGTGGTTGTATGCACACATCCGACCCCTCCCGCTGGAAAGCCAATCGTCTGCTTTTAACAGTCAAGCGGGGAAAAATTTAAAGGAGAACTCCGGCGCAAAATGAACCTTTGGTCTAATTACACATTGTTACCTAGTCAACCGTTATCTGAGATTTGTTTTCATGATTATCGAATGTAAATAGTTTTATCTCTAAAAACAGTTTAGCCTATAAAGCTAGTATAACGCTAGTATATTGGGCATAGTGTAATGACAAATAAAAATCGCTTGTTAATACCACTAACAAGGCTCAAAATAGCCCCACACTAACACGGTAGCATAATGAGGGTCCCTACCTTCAAACTGAAGCATTGAGAACTTTGTCAGTGTCCAGACAGTTTAATAAGAAGATATTTTGAACATACAGTCAACTTCGCGTATACAGGCAGAAGCCATCTTTGAAATACAGTCTCTACCAGTCGATCTACGAACGCCGATCCAAGTGCGCTGGTGAGAATGTGAATGAGCTATAAGTTGTGATAAGGTGAGCGCGAACAGCAGGCTTGGATCGGCGTTCGTAGATCGACTGGTAAAGACTGTATTTCAAAGATGGCTTGTGCCTGTATACGCGAAGTTGACTGTATGTTTAAAATATCTTCTTATTAAACTGTCTGGACACTGACAAAGTTCTCAATGCTTCGGTTTGAAGGTAGGGACCCTCATTATGCTACCGTGCTAGTGTGGGGCTATTTTGAGCCTTGTTAGTGGTATTAACAAGCGATTTTTATTTGTCATTACACTATGCCCAATATACTAGCGTTATACTAGCTTTATAGGCTAAACTGTTTGTAGAGATAAAACTATTTACATTCGATAATCATGAAAACAAATCTCAGATAACGGTTGACTAGGTAACAATGTGTAATTAGACCAAAGGTTCATTTTGCCCCGGAGTTCTCCTTTAAGCCTATCGTCCGGTTCCACTGACGCATGCGCACAGTTGAGGTTTGCGACAGCGCAAAAAAAAAACGTTACTGTTTGAAAAGGCGGCAGATTTGATATGCAGTGTATGTGTGAGTTGTGTAAATATCAGACATCAGAAGTCTCCCGCAGATTGATAGCGGCTCCCTGATGCCCGCAAATTAGTTCAAATCTCCCGGAATCTAGAGCGAGCGAGCAAGAGCGAGCACATACTGTGCTTCAAACTGTGTAGCGCGCGCACGACCGAGGGAGAGAACCCTTGCGCATGCGTAGTAAACGTATAACCTGTGGGGAAAAAGGCCTTTTAAACCTTATTTTGGGGCAAAGTCATCAAACTTTTTCAGCGATTTTTATCATATTTTACTGCTGTTTCTATACATGCAGTTTTTATGTCCCGGTGACCAGTGAAAGTGCAGTTCTGACTCTCTGCCCATTCATTTAGATAGGAACCTGGTCTTGTTAGTCCGAAATAGCTGCCCGGAGGCGTTGCCAAGATGGCGGCCGAGTGGCATGACTTGCCTAAAAGGACTTTGTTAATATGTATGCCTCCAAAAATGTGCATATGCCAGCCCATTTTTTAATGCCAGGCGGAATTGCGCAGCCGAATCATCGGAAGTTCTGTGGGTGAAGAAACAAGCGAGGATCATAGGGAAAATGGCAGATCATGGAAACAAATGTTATGTTCCAGGCTGTGCAGGGGATGTAAGGACTTTTCATACCCTTCCCACAGAAAAGAAATGTCAACAGGCGTGGTTTAATTCAACAGTTTAATTCGAAGTTGTTAGTTTGCTCTGCCCATTTCACCACGGATTATTTTCTAACCTGGGACAATTTCAAGCAGGCTTCTCTCAGCGTCTCATACAGAAGAAGGGGGCAATTCCAACTATATTCCCGCAAGCGGTAACTAGTGATTTTATTAACGATAATTTACACTGTGTTATCTAGATCCAGCGCAAGATCCTAGTACAGTAACAAATAGCAAGCTCCAAGTAACGAGCATACATAACTAAATAGTATGACAAAGTATTTACGCTGAGGTTAATATTTCTTGCCTGTGTTGTCATATAAATCTACAAAATAATACTGTAGATACATATGTAAATTCCCTTTTGTCAAATAATTTTACTTTCGTCTATTTCATCAACAACACGTCAGGGGCTAACATTAGTTTAGTTGCTCACAGATAGTGTTAGCTCACTCGATCCTTCTAGCTAATGTCACATTCTCCACCACATAAGTTGAAGCTATATTTATTTAACAAGGCATTAACGCTAGGCCATTTGTTAAAATGTTTTAATTTTTGAAAACTGACGTATGATTATTTTGCACGCTTGTATGAGCCCGCAGTGAAACAGCCAATCAGAGCAGAACTCCTCATTACTATTCATGACCCTTCCAAATAAGGCCATTTCATTGTAGGGCCAATTTCTAGAGTTGAAAATGGACCTGTAAAACCATATCTGGACATTTTAAATGCCCTTAAATAAGCCACATACCCTCTATGTAGATATCAGAGACAAAATTAAAATATTTCAACATGTTCTAGGGCACCTTTAATGCTTAGTAGGGTTTTTCCTGGCTCAAAACTAGGCGGAGACGGTAAAATCCTGATCATGTATTTTAATAACAAGATAATTTAATTTGTATTTTTCGTAGACCATCTTATAGCCTACTGTGTTTCCCACAGTATTTTTGTGGGTGAAGCTCGGCACGTCTAGGGGGGGTCCGGGGGCATGCCCCCTGGAAGAATTTTTTTATACATTTTAAAGATAAATTCATTAATCTGGTGCACTTTGAGTCACCCGAATCCGCTGTTAAAACATAATCCACCAGCCAACTACCCAAATCTATGATATTCTCTGATTTAGATATCTGCATCTGATCATCACATTACAATTATTCAAATTCTCAGTGTTAAGCATGATAATATGGTAAAATATCACATTGAAGTATAGGCCGATTTAAAATTAAGTTAAAGTTAAAGTTCTTCTTTGGGCAAAATTACATTTCCTTAATAGCCTAAACAGAGGCTTTACTCCCTTCAAACGTAAATTGTCAATGTTTCATTACATCACTGTTGGCAAACACTCTTATCAGAATTTTTTTTTTTTACCTTTATTCCGACCCACGGATTATGATCAGCGCAGCACTATCGGCAAACTATACAGTTTGAGAATGGACACAGGCCGGGAACCCCCTACGAAATTTGACGGAGGCGGCCGTCTCGTAATTCTATATGCAGGAAAAACCCTGATTAGGATCTTATCCAATTTTTGATAGCCCACAAACTGTTCTGAGCCAGATACCCATGAATGCTTCCAACATGGCCAATGCAATGACCTTCCAGTCATGAAAATTGTGGACAGAACCAAAGCACTTTCTGCAAACTATAGCTCTGGCTGCCTGGATGAGTCAAGAAGTTTCTGGAAAAGGAGAAGACAGCCAACCTCTCCAACGTTCCTCGAAAACAAGCCCAGCAAAATGTTTAGAAGAAATTCTCTACAGATGATTCAGATTAAACACTCTAATATTGTGACAATAAAATATGGCAATGCAGAGTTTGAGCATAGGTGAACACCACTGAGTATCAAAATAATTTGATCTTTAAAATCAAGGCTCTCCTTTTAGCCTGCGGCCTTCAAGCTTCAAAAATGACAAAAAGCACCATAAAAACCTATAAAAGCGGTTCATACAACTGTGTCATATCACAAGCCCACTGAAGTCATATGATTGCCTTGTGATAGTATCAATGTCAAATTCATGAATAAATTGTTTGACATGAACTGCCCCATAAATATTGTTTCTAATGCTCAAATAGCATTTAAAAAGTATATATGTCAGGTTGGTTCAGCCAATGCGCATGTCAGGACACTGACTGTTTCTGTTTCCCCATTTCTCTTGTAACAACAGATGCAGTGATTTGATGACTTGCCGTTTGGGGTGTATTCCGCCATAATGCGTGTTGCAGTTTCTTTTATTGATAATAATAATACAAGTGAATCGTCTTTGAATATTGTGATCCAGTTCTCAAGTTCAAGTCATTGATTCAATGATCCAGTTACAGCAGTTAACAGCTCATTTGAAGGAAA